AGCCTGGGCAACTTGGCGAGACCTTGTCTCTACAATAAATCAAAAAAATTTAGCTGGGTGTGGTGGCGCACACCTGTGTTTCCAGTTACTTGGAAAGCTAAGTTGGAAGGATCGCCTGAGTCCAGCAAGTTGAGGCTTCAGTGGCCGTGAGCATGCCACTGCACTCCAGCCTAGACAACAGAGTGAGACTCCAAGTCAAAAAGTTTTACTTAATATATATCTCAAATCAATCTGTTCTCTCTAACTCTACTGCTGCCACCACCCTGGACTGAGCTGTCATCATTTCTTGCTTAGAATTCTACAGTAGCCTCTTGACCAGTTTTCTTGTGTCCTGTCTTATTTCAAATCCACTCTCCATATTACACTCCATAGAGTGACATCTTCAAAATGCAGACCTGATTATGCCTCCTCTTTGGTTATAATACTTCAGTGGCTTCCCTTAGCTCTTAGAATCCAAATCATTAGCATCCCCTGTAAGATTACACACGATCACATGGTCACCCAGTCCCTAAGCAGCAATTTGGTGACAGCTGCTATGTGGACTTGATATCCTAGTAAGGACACCCAAATGGATTTAGATAGTTTATTACTTACACAGACAGCAAAGCAAGATCAGCATGGTGTGAGCTGCCCAAATTCCTAACTCCACAGGACAACAAACCAGAGGAGCCAGATGACAGGGGACATGGGTGGTAGGTTGCTTTGTGAGCTCTAGGCTTGCAGCCCAGCAGTTTTATAACCTGCAACTGTATCTGAAAGGGGCAAAGTGGAAAGTCCCATGCCTTACTGGATGAGGGTCTCCTGAAAGGTAAGGAGGCAGAAGAGAAATGGTACTTCCGCGGCTCCTCACGAGATTGCCTATCCTGCCATGTTCCAGGAGGATCACGGAGCATCCTGCCAGCAATGGGGCCTTGCCTCCTCAGCCTGCGTGGAGACTTGCCGTTGCTGTGGTACTAGTGGAGCTGTTCCCTACAAACAAAGGCTTCCTTGAGGGCCATTGAGTCTTTTCGTAGGGACTCTCTTGCTGAGCATCAGCCATGCTACCCTTCTTTCCAATGTGCAGTGCTTTTCCTTGTCATAAAGCTTTAGCACACACTGTCCCCTCTGTCTGAAACACCATTTTTCCTACCTCTCTGTTTTGTTAGCACCCACTTTCTTCCGTCCTCAGCCCAACATGCTTGACCCGGACTGTTTCCCTCGTTATCACATGGCAGGGTGTACCTCTCCTTCACAGTACTCAGAACAATTTTAATTTTACAATTATTTGTATTGTCTTGAATTATTATAATAGCAGAGGTAAAACATACATTATATTAGTTTACCACTTAACAATTTTAAATGTTTTTACATAGTTGCATTTTATCTTTTCATCTCTGTGAGGAAAACATAACAGGTATTATTTTTATTTTCTTTTATTTATTTTACCTGGATGTTATTTATTTATTTTTTAAAAATTTTATTTTAAAGGTGTGGGGTACAATTCAGGGTGAGGTGTACAAATGATCCCTTGTTGATGAGGTATGGCCTCCCCTCCCCTAGTAGTTTCCCTCAACTGCCAATCCCACCCCGCCCCCGGCAGTTTCCCACTACTGTTGATCCCTTTCTTATAGTATTATGACAATTGTTCAAAATCCACTTATGAGTGAGAACTTTTGGTACTCAGTTCTTTGTTTCTGTGATAGATCACTCAGTATTATAGCCTCTAAGTCCATCCAAGTTGCTGCGAAATTCATAATTTTGTCCTTTATGGCTGTGTGATATTCCATTGTGTATATGTATCACATTTATTTTATCCAGTCCTCTTTTGATGGGCAGCATGGTTGGTTCCATGTTTTTCCTGTTGTGAATAATGCTATGTGTGCAGGTATCTTTTCTGTAGTGATTTGAGTTCCTACGGGTATATTCTGAGCAAGGGGATTGCAGGGCTGTATGGAAGGTCGATTTTTAGATCTTTTAGGAATTGCCACACTGCTTTCCACAGAGGCTGTACTAGTTTACACTCCCACCAACAGTGTAGAAGTGTTTCCTTTTCCCCACATCCTCTCCAGCATCTGTTGTTTTTTCAGTTATCGATGATGGCCATCCTCACTGGATTTAGGTTATATCTCAGTGTGGTTTTCATTTGCATTTCTTTGATGACTAGTGAGACTGAGCATTTTTTTCATGTATCTGTTGACTGCTCCTATGTCTTCTTTTGAGAAGTGTCTATTCATATTTTTTGCCCTCTTTGTAATGGGACTTTTTTTTAAAGCAGGGTTTATTGAGAAGACAGAAAAACTCCCACAGTGGGAGGGGACCCTAAGTGGTTGCCTGGGGCTGTTTTTTTTTTTTTTTTTTTTTTTATGTCTTTTTGTTTTTTCAGATAAAGGCCCATGTTAGAACTCAGGGTTTTTGTTTTGTTTTGTTTTGAGTTTTCTAGCTTAGTGTGCCCTGTATACCACCGCTGTTTTTCTGTAAATATGTTAAATATATACGGCAACACACAGTAAGTTAGAGGAACAAAGAAAATGACACAGGGTCCAAAGGAGAGAGAAATCACTTCAGATAAGATGATCATCATAGACCTCGAGTGTAGAGGCACCATTTGAAATGGCCTTGAAAGTCAGTGGGCTTCTGATGGACAAGGAAGTGAGGGTCTTACAAGGCAAGATGTGTCAAAGTTACAGTTGTAGAAAGGAGTGAGATTATTCAAGGAATAGCAATTGATAGTTTGGGTGGGTGTAGGGTTAATATGGGTCCTAAGGAGGGAGGCTGGAATTGGATTGTACGGGACCTTGATTTTGCTTGCAATAGGAAGTAACTACATTTCTAAGTAGGCAAGTGATCTGATCAGCATTGAACTTAGAAAGGATTAGTTAAGCAACAATGTGTAGAATGAATTGTAGCACAGAGGACTGGATTCAAATTAATTTGTTATGGCCTAAGTGAGAAGTAATAAGGTCATGACTTGGGACAAAACATCTGAACCAGTAAGTCATGGCACACCTTACAAAGTTTCATGTCAAAGTCTTTCAGCCAAAGGCCGCTAGGAACACATCTGTATCTGAGGAAACAGGTTTATTTAACATGCTGCAGCAAACGAGAATACAATACCAATAGAACTGTGGGTCATCTCCGGGAGTTGGGCGGTGCTGATTACAGGGTTTCAGTTTGTGTTCAGTGACTCTTAGGAGGATTTAGAGAAAGCGGAGATCGAGTCTAGATTGGGTATTCTCAGAAAGTGAGATACTGGGCATTTTGGAACATTTTAGCTTGGAGGTGGGAGGATTTAAAAAATAGTAATCATCTTTGTTAGCCAGAAGAGGGAGATGTTTCATTATTTTTGTGGTTCATGAGTGTTCTCTAGTTTCAGAAATAATAACATGGGAGTCTTATCTCTGCCTTCTACTATGGTCACAGAGTGTCCTTATCTGGGTGTTGCTTATCTTCTCAAAATTGCTCGGTTGGGAACATTGTGGTTTAGCTGTTAGCTTTCCATTGCCAGGTTTTTTTTGTTGTTGTTGCTTTATTAAACACTCAAGGCATTGATCTGCTCAGCCCTCAAAGGTGCCAGTCAGTTGCTTCACATGTCGAGCAGCCTCATACATCTCCCCAGGCTGCCACACGTGTATTCTGTTATCTAGATGTGCCATGACTGGGAAAAGCACTGGAACAATGGCACTAGCAATGAAGAGTAAAGGACCAAGCCATGCTATAAAGGTGCAAAGCTTTCTACTATCTCCAACATTTCTTGTTCACTTGAAATCTATGCTCCAGCAAAAAGAGTTGATTTTGGCTGCTACAGTCTGTGATTTGCTCCCTTTGGGTGTTATGCCCTCTACTTGGAATATCTTCCCCTGGTCTCACTCTCATGTCCAAATTCCATCTTCAAGGACCAGTTCAAATATCTCTTCCCTCTCCCACATTACCAGTGAGAGGTAAGGACAAGAAAAAAACCTACTTAAAATAATAAATGAAAAGTAAATTATATATTTGGAAATATTAATTGTAGCTCAGAGGAGTCAAGCTGGAAGCTCTTTTCTGTGAATTCATATAGCAGATTCCTTGGATCCCTAAAGCATTTATTTCTAACATTTATTCAATATGTATGACATATTATTTACTAACGTCTATCAGTGGTACCATCCAGATGTCATGAGATTTCCTTCTTTCCAGGTTTTTCAGGTTTAAATATAAAGCAGCAGAAATGTTTTAAAACTCCACTCTCATTCTTACCTCATTCAGAACGAAAGTTACTGATATATGGCCATATTTGGCTCTATTTGTATCGGGAGGTTGAGAGAAACTTGTAGGTAGCTAGATGTTCCTTGTAAAAAGCTAAGGATGGGACTAACTTACGAGAAATAGCTTTTTAAAATTTCCTGGGTGGAGCCGGGCATAGTGGTGTGCACCTGCAGTCCCAATTGCTTGAGAGGCTGAGATGGGAGGATCTCTTGGGCCCCAGAGTTTGAGGCTGTAGTGCACTATGATCATGCCCTGAGAATAGCCACTGCACTCCAGCCTGGGCAACATAGCAAGACCCTAAATCTTTTTTTTTTTTTTTTTTTAATTGCATGGGTTAACATTTGAGGAAGTGTGAAAATCATTATCTTTTTGTAATGTCTAAAAGGAAAAAGACTAATAAAAAGTTAATTGTAGACCAGGCTCAGTGGCTCAGCCTATAATCCCAGCACTTTGGGAGGCCAAGGCGAGTGGATTGCCTGAGCCCACGGGTTCAAGACCAGCCCAGGCAACTTGGCAAAACCTCGCCTCTACAATACATTAAAAAAAAAAAAAATTATCCAGGTGTGGTAGTATGCACCTGTAGTTTTGGCTACGTGGAAGGCTGAGGCAGAAGGATCACCCGAGCCCAACAGGTGAACTCTGGGGTGGCCATGAGTGTGCCACTGCACTCTAGCCTGGATGACAGAGTGAGACTCCAACTAAAAAAAAAAAATTAATTGTATTAAATTTACAGTAATAAATGTAGTAACAAATAGCTTTGTCTCATATTAATTTAGGAATGACTGCCTGCAAAAAATCTGGGAACAGAGACTGCAATCATCATTGCAAAAACAAACATACATGTGGACATGACTGCTGTGAGTTCCATAAAACAAGTTTATTTCTGGTGTTAAAAATGGAAAGATGCTTGATGAATAGTAATGATATCCTAATTATCTATGTATGTTATTTATATTATGCAACTTGTAACTCAAATAATTTTCTTTCTTTTGTAAGCAAAATGGAAAAAAATTAGATTTGACATTTCAAAGAAATTGGCTTTATATGCACAATACCAGAAGGTTAACCTAAATAATCTAAAATTTATTTTCATAGGTAAAACTGGAGTTGCACAAAAGTCAGAAATGAAACAATTAGCAATTTCTTCTTATTTATCTGATTTAAGAAACAGGAATGCTGTTTCATCTCTTCCTCCAGTTAAACGTCTGAAGGTTAGTCCTAATAACATGTTTCTCTGTCGTGTAATTAAATGTATAAATATTTGTTCTCTGTATCAAATTAAGTAGGTGTCCACAGTGTATTTTAGAATTACTCGTGGGCTCGACTAGGAATCAATCTATAAATGTACTTTTGCAACATAGTTACCCTCCCTCATTAGATGTTTAAAATTAAATTAGATTATACCAGAGAAAAGGGAAAAGGAGAAGGATACAGAGCTTGGCTTGGTTCAGCAGCTGAAACTAGACACAGTGGCCCTTTCCTGGTTTCATCTGTGCTGGACAGGGCTGAGAGGTCTAAGATTGGTTTTGACTCATGCCCCTAGATAAGCACTGACCAAGAGCCTCCCTTCCAAGTGGTGAAGGAATTAGAGTTCCTACTGTTGGTAAACTAGTCACTAGCAGACTTATCTTAAGCCCAATTCACCATATGTAGAAAAGCCCTTTCCTAGGGCATTTATAAGAATGAAGATTCTAAGTCATGAGGCCAAAACAAGGAAAATGTTGGGAAACAGGGAGAGGCATGAAGTTTTGAAATGGCTACCACCTTCCCTGAGATAATTTTTTTAGTAGCACAAGTTTTTCCCTCCTTCTTCCCATTCGTCTTCCTTCTCTCCCTCCCATTTTTTCTTTCATAGTCTTCTTTCTTTCCTTCCATATTCATTGAGCACCAAAAATATGCCAAGTATAGTATGATGAATGATTCTGTGACAGAAGTAGAAGATAGTTGAGCTTAGATAGAAAATACACTCAATCCACATTTGGTGGACCAGGAAAGGATTCCTCATAGATATGACTGAGACCTGAAGGATAAGCCAAGAACGGAGAGGAGAGCACCAGAATGGTAGTAGAGAGGGATACTCCATAGAGATTGTGCAAAGTTCCAGAGGAGAAAAAGATCATTAAGGAACTGAAATAATACAGTGTGTCTGAAGTTCAATTGCAAGTAGAGGAGTATGGGAGAGATGAGGCTGAAGAAGTAAGTAGGAGCTAGATCACGCAGACCTTTTAGGTGTTTTAAGGAATTAGACTTTCTCCTGGGAGTACTGGAAACCACTGAAGAGCTTTAATCAGTGACATGATAGAATTGTATTTTAGAAAGTTTACTTTGGCTGCAATGTAGAGAAGGGACTGGAGGATGATAGAACAGGAACAAAGGGATTCATTAGGTGGCTTTTGCAATAATCCAAGCGAAATGAGAGCCCCATGTAAGATAGTGGTAGTAACAATGGAGAGAAGTGTCTGGGTTTAAAATATTTTTCAGAGGTAGAATCAACTTGCTCAGTACCCCATTGGTTACGAGAGATGAAGCTGGAGTCGTCAAAAATGATGCCCAGCTTTCTGGTTTGAACAACTGGGAGAAAAATAGGGCCTCACCAGGGTAGGAACTCTGAAGGAAAAGCATGTTTGGGAGAAGTAAAGACAAGATAAATATAATTTGTATAATATTGAATTTAGAGACCTACATGATGTCTAGGTAAAGATATCCTACTGACAGTTGGATATAACTGTCTAAAACTAAGGGGAGAGAGCTGAGCTAGAAGTATACATTTGAGAGTCATTCACATGTAGATGACAATTGAAACCATAGGAATAAATGAGATCTTTGTTTCTCACAAGAGAAAGTCCAGTAAAGAACCACGAAGAATGTCAACATTTAAGAAGGTCGTGAGAAATATATTTGAACTGAGAACTAGCATGAGTTGCTCCTAATTTGTTGATTTTTGAACTAGCAGAAATTTTGTTGTTTGGCTTATTTGTTCAAAGGTCTTACTTACGTTTCATCTTGTGAACTCAGAAATTGATAACCGAACTCATTTTTTTTTTCCATTAATAGATACAGATGAATAAGTCTCAAAGTGTGGACCTGAAGAAGTTTGGTTTTACTCCAAAACCCTTCCTTCCCAGTATGTCCAGGTACAAATATAATGTTAATGCCTAGGGTAAAATATTCACCATAAGCGCTGATTCTTCAGATAACCACTTATTCCAGCAAAGGTGGTCACTGGCTACTATCAAATCACAGTAATCATTTAGTTCCATAATGAAGCAATGACATCATAAAGGTTTCATTATCTCTGATACCCTAAATTTATTCAGAACTCTAAACAGAACACTTCAATATTCATTAAGTCATCCCTACCATGGAAACTACCTGTCCTATGTCATCCCCCCAGGTTCCTCTTTACAGAGAATATAAACTAAGAGACAAGAGAATACTTTAAAAAGGGAAATCATGTTGGTAAACAAAGTCTAATCTTTCCATTCAGGGGCTCAGTCTATATTAATACCACCTCAGATGTAGACTTTTAAAAATTGTACTTTTGTGCATTATCTTCTTTATTTTAACAACCACTTGGCTCATAAAATGAAGTATATTTATCCCATGTTATAGATGGAAGAACTGAAAGTCATATTCCTAGCTAGCAAGTAGAAGGCCTTAGACAGTTCTTTTCCTGTATCAGGATGCCTAAAAGATAACATACGTAATTTCCCTTCTAGGGAAAGGTGTTATATATGCAGGGATGACATTCAGTATATTTAACAACAGGAACTGATCAATCGGAATAGATGCCAGCACTACTTCTAGAGATCTCAGCTTTTGTTATCTAAGTGAAAGTAGCATTAGTAATAGATTTGTTAAAGGTTGTCCACAGATAGCAGATATCTATTGCTGGCATGTAAAGATGCCTAAATAAACATCACTTACATTAAACACCTATTTTTACCCTTTGCTTTTCAGACCGGGTACAGTGTATCATAGAAATGTTAAAAGGATAAACCATTTCTTTTGTTATTTGTATGAATAAGTAGCTTGCAAAGCCAGATTAATTTTAGTATTTATAATTTAACATTCTAAGGTCTTATCTTTGTAAAGGTCAGAATATTTAAGCATTCCTGAGCAGTGGGATCAGCATGAACTATGTGGAAAAGAAGTTCAACAAGAACCATCTGAATATCAAGACAAAAGTAAGTTACTATTACTATTGACTTGAGAGAGACTATGGCTGGTTTATCATTACTTTGTATTGGCAAGTAATGTTATTGAAAAACCAAAATCTGAAATTATTGTAATTATTAAGTTGGTAACATTTTTAAAAACTTTTAGAATCATAAGGTATATATGAGGATTTGTTACCTAAGTATATTGCATGAAGGCAAGTTTTGGGCTTCTGATGAGCCCTCCTCCCCCGCAGTAGTGGGCATCGTACCCAATGAGTGGTCTTGTATCCCTGATCCTCCTTGTCTCCCTCCCTTCTTTAGCAGTGCCCAGTGTTTGTCGTTGCTGTCCTTGTGCCCATGTGTGCCCAATGTTAGTGCCCACTTTTTGTTTTTGTGATGATTCACTTCGAATGATAGTCTCCATCTGCATCCATGATTTTGTTCTTCTTTATGGCTATGTAGTATTCCACAGTGTATATGTACCACATTTTCATTATCCAGCCCACCTCTAATGGGCATCTGGGTTGTTTTTGCTATTGTAAATAATACTACAATAAATATACAAGTGCAGGTGTCTTTCTGGTAGAGTGATTTGTGTTCCTTTGGGTATATTCTCAGAAGTGGGATCGCTGGGGCAAATAGTAGCCCTATTTTTAGTTCTTTGAGAAATTGCTACACTGCTTTCCACAAAGGTTGAACTTTTCCACCAACAGTAAACAAGCATTCCCTTTTCTCTGCAACCTTTCCAACACCTGTTGTTTTTTGACTTTTTAATATTAGCCCTCCTAACTAGTGTGAGATGGTATATCATTGTGGTTTTGATTTGCATTTCTCTGATGACTAATGATACTGAACATTTTTCATGTTTGTTGGCTGCTTGTTTGTCTTGCCTTGAGAAGTGTCTGTTCATGTTCTTTGACCACTTTTTAATGGGGTTATTTTTTTCCTATCAATTTGTTTGAGTTCCTTATAGATTCTTTGTTAGATCCATAGTTTGCAAATATTTTTTTCTTATTCTGTGGATTGTCCCTTTACTTCTTTTGCTGTGCAGAAATTTTTTAGCTTGACAAGATTTCATCTGTCAATCTTAGATTCTCCTGCATTTGCTTTTGAGGACTTGGCCATTGCCTACTCTGATGTCCAAGAGGGAATATCCTTAGGTGTTCTTCTAAAATTCTTATGGTTTGAGGTTTCACATTTAAGTCCTTGATCCATTTTGAGTTAATTTTTTTATGTGGTGATAGGTAAGAGTCCATTTTTGTTCTTCTGCATGTGGTTAACCAGTTTCCCAGCACCATTTGCTAAACAAGGCTTCCTTCCCCCAATGTTTGTTTTTGTCAGTTTTGTCAAAGATGAGTTGGTTGAAAGTCTGGGGTTTTATTTCCAGGTTCTATATCCTGTTCCATTGATCTGTGTGTCTATTTTTATACCAGTACCATGCTGTTTTGGTTACTGTAGCCTTGTAGTAAAGTTTGAAGCCTGGAAGTGTGATGCCACCAGCTTTGTTCTTTTTGCTGAGAATTGCTTTAGCTAGTTGGGCTCTTGTTTGCTTCCATATGAAACTAAGTATTATCTTTTGCAGGTCTGTGAAGAATGTCTTGGCAACATTTTTCTCTTGATGTATTAATCAATTTCAAATTCTTTGATTTGTTATTTCAGATGGTCTTACTGTGTCTGTTACCAATTAAAAAAAAAAAACAACTTTCCTACATAATGTTGACTGTTAATTTATAGATACTATGAGGAAAATATGAGAAAATAAGGGATACTTAGGTATACACAGTATTAAAATGCTGAACTATTAATTCCATATATCTTTAGAGTTATTTAAAGTTTATAAAATCAGTCCAGTTTTACAAAATAGCTGTGTGATCTTGGGTTAATCATTTAACCTCTTCAGGCTTTAGTCTTATCTTTAAAATGAAAGGATTGAATTGGGTGACCTTTAATATCTCTTCAGTTAGTAAAGCTATGATTCTTACAATTTCTCTAATAATAAGAGTATAACCTAGGTTGTGTGATATAGCTGGTATATAATCTAGATATACTTTTTAATCTGTCTGTCATTAAATTAATGAAATCATGCATATAAATTTAACTCCGTGCCTGGGTCATCATTACTGTGGTTCCTGCCATTGACAGCGTCACTTCTCTGACCCGTGCTATTAATAGCCACTCGGTTAAAACATGTGAGAAATAATCCTGGCCACTGAGTTGTTTGCTCAAGTGACTGGATGTAGAACTGATAACCTTGAGGTTTCCTGAAAATAATGTTTGGCATTGGATTATGCTGCTACTCTCTTCTTTGTGCTGTCACTTTCTGCTTTTTCTAGTCATAATTTAAGATCCTAGGGAGGCAAGAGCTGTAACATTCACTGCCTCTTATGATATCGTGGCAGCCATTAGGCCCAATAGGAGATCAAGAAAAGTTCTTTAATCTCACCTGGACAAATAGAGCATTTTTCCAATTTGCTCAAAGCCTAAATATCATTATAAAGTGAATAGGCGTTATAAAATTGTCAACCCTTTTTTTTAATCTCCCTTCAGCCTACAGCCCTCTAACTTATGTCTTCATTATACTACTGCTCTATTCCCTGTTCTTCTTCATATCAGATTTTATCCTTCCCTCTGCTTACTTTTGTGTTGTATTTATGAAGTTTTCCTACTTTTCTTTCCCACCCACTATTCCAAGTCCAATTTATAATATGATACTAAAGTTCAATATACATACTTTAGCCACCAGTAATAACTGTATCCCTGTTTTACTGAGTGGCCCACTTAAAAAAAAAAAAAAAAAAAAAAAAGG